TGTGTAGAGTCTGCAGACAGCTGGGGGAAATCATTGGTTTCTACCAATTCATACCAATTTTCAGTCTCTAAACTTAAGCGAGGGCATTACAGGAGACAGAAGGGACCATTGTGCACCACAGTGCTTGGGAAGGCTGTGGTGTGGACTCTGTCTGTGCTTTCCACAGGGACCTTTCCCTGGGCACAGGAATGGCTGGAGCCAAACTCTTTTGTGGGCTTTCTCCAACTGTTGGTGTAGAGGATGGCGGCGGCAGCTCGTTGTTTCGTGCAGGATCTCTCCCTGCTTTCACTGCGATGGGTCAATTGACTTGTTTAACGTTTTTGATGCCTGCTTTGGAGATGGCTTTCCTGCTTAAGAGAGCATCAAAATTAATTAGCAGTCCTCTGGTTAATAACGAAATCAGCAATTCAAAAAATGTGATCTCTTGCTGTACACAGCCGTGTGTTTACATTGTTCTCATTGCTGGAAGATAAGAAGGAGGCCCAGATGGTGGTGACATTGGAAGTGGTTCCTTTCCTGTTATTTGGTGGTGCTACTTACACGAATAAGTACTTGGCTATTGAGAATGCATTATTTAAACACTAAGTTGACTTTTTCGGGAGGGCTGAGGGTTACGGTGTGTTATCATTTTGTGGTCTAGATTTATTGTGTAGTGAATGCAATTCATGTGTGCTGCGCTGAGCAAGGAGTAAGAGCAAAATAAGTGGACTCATGTACAATGCTTCAGGCTTGGAAGGCTGACATTTAGTCGATCTTGGAGCGTCTTTCTCCAACCGATGACGAATGTTTCATCCATTTCTTGCCTCAGTTCGTATTTGGACACAAAAGGAATGTTTCAGGAGCTGTCTGCAGCGGTGCTGCAGTCTGCAATAGCACCAGGGAATGGCTTTGTTGTGTGTCTGAAAAAACCTGGTATGAGGTGGTGTTGCCTCTGAAGTTCTCTCCAGGGTCTGGTGTTTGAAAAGGTGCAAACTGTCGAGCTGGCAGCTGCCCCGCAGCCCTCCCAAGATGTTCCTCCTGTAGGTACCTGGCCCCATTCCCCTCAGGGCACTCAGGCTGTTGGCAGTGCTGCTGCGCTCACCTGATGCAACTGGAGGTGCTGTTGTGGCTGATGTGCAGTGCAGGAAGGTTTAAAACAACAGTACAGTCAGCATGGTTACCATGTGTGGAAGCATGCTTGTTCTGCGTGTATCAGAAGAAGGCAGAGGTGTGGAGAGAGCAAATGTTGCCACTGCTGCCCACAGCTGCACTGATGGGACGCGCTCATAGGAGAGCCACAGCTCTGCCACAGCTTTGTGCCCCGACTGATGGCTGGTGACAGGGCTGCCAGCTTCGTGTCGGGCCGTGTCTGATGGCCTGGTGCTGACAGCCTGGGTGGGAGATGTTCTTGTTTGCCTTCCTGACTCACAGCTCTGCTTTCCCACCTGGTGCTGTGGGCTCTGCTGCTCTGGGCTGGGATGGGGCGCGCAGTGGGACGGGTCCCCAGGGAATACGAATGTCAAACGCCATAAACTTCACCACACCCATCTTCACTAAAGTTTGAACCTTGAGCTGGGTTTGAAAGTCTCTGGTAAATGATTAACAAAGGAATGGACTTAGATAAACAGCGTGGTTTGTACAGGCCTGCTTACTGGAGCTGCATCTTCTTTAAGTCTTCTCATTTCCCTTCGTGTCTCCTCAGTGAGAAATTATAAACAAATATCTGTGCAAATAAAACTTGTTTAGGTGTGAATAACTTCTGAAAGGTATGGGAGTGGGCCTCAGTCCCCTTTCTCAGCTAACACGTTGCCTCCGAGAATAAAAGTAACTCATTTATGAACTTGGAACCATTGCGTTTCAGAATGCTTTCCTCTCCCATTTGGACCTGTTTATGTTTTCTTCCCTTTGGGTCAGAGTCATAGTTTGTTAGGGTTTGGTTGAGTTCTGAAACACGACTGCAAATCACCGAAGGATAACAATAATGGTTATGTTATGGGGTGTAAATCCTCACTTCTTGAGGGACACAACCCCTTGGGAAGCAGTTTTGTTGTCTTTGTCTCCTTCTTCCTGTGACTGTGTGAGTAAAAGATTTGTATTGAACACCAGGCGAGGTTGCTGCGGTGCAGGGCTGTGCCTCGCATGAGCTGCTCACTTTGGCTGTGGATCAGATCTGTGAGGCTCCTGGCTGGGATCGCCCTTGGGATCGCTCTGCTGCTGCACCTGGGGCAAGCAGGAGGCGAGGAGGGACTGTCAGCATTCGACACTTTCCTCCTTTATTAGTAAATACTGGCCTTATCTGATAGAGCCAAGCTGGAAAAGATATGCCAGGAACCCAGATTAGATTGTTGGCAACTGCTTTATTAATTGATACCATCATTTGTTTTTAGTTCTGTTGTTCTATTTGATTCTATTTAGTATCTATCTGTTGTCTTTATCGTGTAGTGATTTCTGTGATAGTAGTATAGAAGATGAGCCTAATTAAACATTAAAGGGGATTGAAAACTTTCAGTAGAATATGCTTGGCGCTGCCACCATTTCAGTGACAGTTCATGGATGATTCCTTGAAAATGTTTTTGTCATAAATTCACAAGAGCTCAATTTCTTGGATCTATATTAGTTGTCTGCAAAACTATGCATAGAAAAAGACGCTTCTGTCTCTTCTCATTTCGGAATGTTGAATGATCTGCAGCTCTCAAGTGATGCATGCCTTACTTACATTCTAGGCTCTCCATTCACATTTCAGTGTTTAAACTGGGATTTGTAGAGTAAGAAAGGGTGCCACCGGACCTGAATCTTTAATAACATAGCCACAAATTGTTTTGTCCAGCAGCAATCTGCTTTATAGAATGTAGGGTGTGAATTGGACCCAACTAATACGGAGTGAGTATTGTGGCATTGATCACTGATAATTGTTTGCTGTGAGCCATGCAGCCCCGGGTTGGCTCCCATCACTGACCTCCTGTAAAGGAGCAGCTGGGCTCCAGCTCTGCTTTATGATGGAGGAGCGACCAGCAGCTGCTCATGGCCAACTCTGGTTTATCCTAATTGAACGTCATCGCATGCAGCTTAGTGATAAGAAGCAGAGATAGATTTGAGTCCTTGACTTCCTTACCTGTGAGGTCGGTTCCCTTGCAAAACTGTCACCACTCATGCAAACCACCTCCTGCAGGGCAGTGGGCCCTAGCAAGCAGCAGCCTCTGTTGTTATGTGACGCATTCCTGGAGTGCTTCAATGCTGAGGAGGGCAGGCAGGCTTCGTAGAAATGAGTGTGAGTGTGTAATTAAAGACGTGTGTTTGTAAGGACATCAGATGAGCATAACCGGGGTGAATTCCATTCTGCCATTGCTTGGGTGTTGTGCACTTCATTGTGCAACCTAAGTATTTTATTATGTTTTTCTGCTCCTTGAGAGAAGACAAATTATTTAGAAAACATAGAAAGGCCATCCTGTGGGTCATTAACAGCATTGTAATCTACTGATGAGTGCAGCTTTAGTTGAGGGATTAGCTAGCGATGGTGGTGATAGTTGTTGTCATCTTTGTAGAGTAATAGAATAGAGAAAGTGTTGCTGCATTTCAGGTATTTTCTGAGAGCAAAGGACGAATGTGATGGAGTTGAGTCCTTTTCCAAGTTCTGGGGAGGATTGGTGCTTCCTGGGTGGGCTTTCTTCTCTTTTTCCCCAAGCCTGTCTCATTCTGCCTCACTCCGGCTGCAGCCTTTCTTACTGAATCCTTCTCTCCACCCCTTGTTCCGTTCTTGTTCTTTCTGTTCAGATGAATTCCTTTGCCAGCCTTTGTACCAGGTTACTGCAGCAGGTCCCCATCGCTGCTGGCTGTCCTTCAGTTCTGCTGTGCCCCTTGCTCATGCAGCCCCCCCGTACTCCTGGGCTGTTGTCTATTTCTCAATTCCTCCGTGGGGATGCAGTGTGAGGAGCTGACTTGTTCAAAATTCAAGCCCTCGGGGCTGAAGGGTTTTCAATTGCTCTGAAATTTAATTTTTTTCTGAATGTTTGAGTGTTTTTTACGCATATGACCAAATCTAGTCAGGTTTCCTTGAGGGGGGGAAAAGGAATATTCTGTTAAAAAGTCAGTCCATGTTCTGAAATTTGAAGTCCGCTTCGGGGAATGAGAGTTTTCTGGGATTTTTCTGAATAGAGGCACCAGGGTCTCAAAATCAGAGTCATTTTTCTGTCCTCATCTAAAAAATTGCTGGAGCCCTACTGCACCAAATTTTAGAATCACTGGAAGCCAAGCATGCAGTATAGAAATCTCATCTAAAAGATTAAAACTTTTGTGAAACTCAACTCAGCAAAACGTGCTGTGCAGGCTGTAAGGAGTTCAGGTGCTGGGCAGCCTGAAGCAGGCGAGGCACTGGGCTCTGTGCTGAATAATCGGCCCCTGAAGTTTGGCAGAGCTGCTGCTGGTTCAGCCCTTACGGGTAGGAGCAGCTCAGAGGTGGCTGTGATGGGCTGTGTGCTGTCCCAGCAACAGTTCTTGGTTTAAGAAGTAACCCTTTGTCAGTGGACTGGGTGTTTGCACAGGAATACCACATCCTCAAATTAAGAAATGCTATTACTTTCCTGAAATGCTGGGGTGAGAGGATCTTTTATTACTATAAATATGTGACTTAATTTGCAGTTTCTTGCACAGAAGTGTCCTGATACAAAACCCGATGCTGGCAGTGGAAGGCGAGGACTTAATGCAGACTGCGGGGAACGCAGCCATAATGAAAGCAGTATGGAATGAGAGCGTGCTGTAGGAGTCGATTTTATAGACTAGGATCACTGCACAGGAAACTTGGCTTCAGAGATGGGTAAGGGAAGTGATCTTGACGCAGTCAAATAGGCAGCAAAGCAATCCGTACAGCTTTTCTTACGACTCACAGAGATCGCTGGTTAACTGTTTCTGGGTCTGGTGCACGGAGCTGTGAGGATAAAGGACAAGGCAGCCCATTTCTCACCATCGTATTATGTTTGCCAAAAGGCCACAGACTTTAATTCATATTTTCATGCCTTTTTTCCCAGCCCTGGACTGAGATCAGATGTAAGCTCTTCTCCATCCACAACCTCAGCGACTACGGGACCACCTCCCAAGCTCTGCCTCGTGTGCTCTGATGAGGCCTCTGGGTGTCATTATGGTGTTCTTACTTGTGGCAGCTGCAAAGTGTTCTTCAAAAGAGCTGTGGAAGGTAAGTCTTGTTTTAAACAACGCATTCATCAAGACTGTAAGGTCCAATTCCATATGTGACCGGCCAGAGCCAGGCCGTTCTGTCCTGCTGGAGCCCATTATTGCTCGAATCCTCCTGGGGAGCCAGCCCTGCTATCGCTGTTCCTTTCGTAGTAAAAATAACATTGATAATGGTGTGATTTTCTGTAGCATGGATTCTCTTTACGTTTATAAAACGCTCCCATTCACTCCAGATAAAAAGGTGCGTTGTTATCTTTGCTTTTTGTTTCCTTCATTTTCTTTCAGAGTGGTTTTTGTTTATTTGTCCTGATTGTATACAGACGTGTCTGCGTGCGTTGGATTCGCAGTCTGTGGTTCTAAGTTTCATGCTCATTGATCTGTGCGTGATGATGTGTGTGAAATTGGGTAGCGCTTCTGCAAGGTTGGGAGAGTTTCACAGTGTTTCCTGTCAGCAGTGTTGGTTACGTTACACGTGTGTAACATATATGGTGTACGCAGGGTAATTTACAGGGATGTGGGGGTCGGGGTCGTTGGGATTTCTCTGTAAGCACAGGAAGGACACGGCGGTGATGGAGCATGGAATGGGAGTCCAGAGCGGTGCAGCGGAGCAGCTGCTCTGTGCTGAGCGGGCTGTGCCTGTGCGCCCAACTGCTCACTGCAATATCAGCATCAGAGACAGAAGGAGCACAGAGCGCATCGCTGTGTGCTGAAAGGGCAGCAGTGGTTCCTGCACCGCCGTTACACAATGCAGGAAATCCCTCACGCGGGGCTTCCCGTCCCGTGCCTGTTTCGGGCAGTCCTTACTGGGTGTGATGAAGTGAGTCACGCTGTCATGTTTTGCTAACGTTTTTGCAAGCTGGATTTCACTTGAGAAGGGGGAAGGCTGTGTTTCACAAAGATGCATCGGCATTCTGTCCTTAGAAGAAGGACTGGCCCTGTGCTCCCAACTCACCCAAAGCAATAGGAAATGTAATGACGCAATGGGAAACGGCGTGGAAGCGCAGAGCCTCTCTCAGAGGATCCGAGGATGTTTGCAGGCTGTGCTGCTGCCCTTTGTGGGGAAGGATGTCGTGTCCGTGGCACGCTGAAGCTGCTTCTGAAGTACCATGAGAACCAGCTCCAGTACAGAGCGCCGGGCTGTCCTTGGCTCTCGGCTTGTCCTGTCTGAGATGTGCTCCTGTCTGCAGCCAGGCTCCTGGCTGGGATGAATAATCATCTGTAGCTTGGAGAAGGGCGCTGGATATCCCCCAGAAGCAGCTCTGTGTGGCAGCTGTGTGTGCCATAGCGACAGTTCTGCCTGTTCCACAGCCTTAACCAGGGAAGGAAGCATTGATACATGAAGAAATCAGTCCGGTGATTGCTGTGATTGGTGATGTGACTTTGCACATCTTGTACCAACTGTGTTGGAGTTAAATATGTAAAGCGGGGTTGGAGCTGTAAAACTGCAACGCACTCCTAAAGGTTTACCTGCACTTTCATTCTCTTACTGTTCCACAGATTGTCCCAATCGTCATCCTTAAGATTCGATACTATGGATGTTTTCAGGAGCTCTTAAAGGATCTGTGAGTTTTAATATTACCTTAAGGAACAAAAAAACTTGGTTTTAGCTCTTACGGGCATTTTTCTCTTTAGGAATATATGTAGAAAGAATTTATTTCTGCACAATTGCTTTCATTAATATCTGCCAAGCATCTATTAGTGTACAGATCCAGCAAACTGCATTTGTCACCGAGCTGTAAGCTTGGAAACACTCCTTCTGCACCTTTGTCTGCAGTCATATACACTGCAATGGAAATGATTACAGAAACTGAAAGTTTCGGTGTCCAGGTGAATATGATGTGTATCTCGTTCAGCAAACTGTAGAACTAGAGGAAAAGAGGGAGGATGAAGGTGGGAACAAAGATCCTTTCTCCAGGAATCCAGGATAGCAAAAGCTGTCTTGTTCTAGTTCTTATTTTCAGGGTGCCTCGGAGCCCTTATGGTTGTTTCTGCAGGCCCAGCCCCACACCTCCCTCCTGTTTCCACCTCTCCTGCCAGCCCACATCTTCTTCCCTCCTCCCACCCCCGCTTTCATCTTGCCTCAGATTCTCACACCTCCGTTCTGTGTTAAATCCCTTCCAACACCCCTGCCTCCTGCAGTGCTCCAGATTGTGCTTGTTCTCCAGCCCTTTCCACTCCCAATCTGTTCCAAAGAATCCTTCATTCCTCTGATCATCACAACCCATCAGAGCCGGGGGCATGCTTGTGCCCAGGTGGTGCGGTGCGGAGCAGCAGTGTTGTCTGGATGCTCTGCAAAATGCCAACATCTGCAGTAAATTCTTTTGGAAGCATCTCAGTTTGCTCTCTACCAGATTTCGCCAGTGTGTTCTTTAAGTGTCTTCATTTTTTTTAAGCAGCAAAGGTAACTGAAATGTCTACGTTTGGCTGGCGTGTCTGCAGGGCAGTGCTCTGACTGTGGGAAGCAGGAGGTGGAAAGATCTCATTTTTCACCAAATGCTAATGTGACAGAAGAGCTTTACTATACTGTTATACAGAGAAATAATGTGATTTCCATATGAAAAACAGTATAAAAAGAAAGACAATAATGGCTAAGCAGTAGATACAAGAAATCCAAATAGTACATGGAGATGGAACTCCAGAAGTTTGACGAAGGCCACAGGATGGACTCTGCATACCTGAAATTTTCACAGTTGATTTCAAACTAATTCCTTAATCACGTCTGTTTCTATAAGAAGACCCCTAGACTCCATTGTTAGTACCTGAATATTTGGAAGATACTTTTGTTCCTCTTGCTGTTATCCATCGGGACATTGACATGCAGTGTAAGAGCCTGGGCTGCAGCTTTGTTCCACCACCACTTCTGTCTCTTGTTCCCTGTCTGGGAGGAGGACATACCTCTTAGCAGTGCCTTTTTCTAAAGGAACCTGTCGTTATACAATTGTTCATATAACTCAAATCATTAGGAACAGATGTCATTCTTGATATCGTTCTCCACTGTTTCCCTTCTGTTAACAGCAAAGCAATGTGCCCATTTTAATAGGTGTCCTTCAGGTCACCACATTCCTGGGGCCAAATTTTTGGTGTGAATCTGAGCGGCCGTGGAGATGTCAGAGTGCTTGGTTGTCTGCTTCTGAATGGAACAAGGGCTACTCAGCTTCTAGAGCGGTGGCAGCTATTTCTATATGTCAGGAGAGATGTTGAAATGTATACTTTCCAAATGTGTTTGTGAATGTTATTTATATCTCATGTGAAATCATTCAGGGGAATTGTAAACATGCCATGGAGGCTTAGAGCTTTCTCCTAGCTTGGAGAAATGTAAGAGAAAAGGAGTTGTAAAAATAGAACTTGCCCAACCTTACCAAACAGAAAACAGGATTTCTCCTAAGCGTGTTGGCATCGGTGTCTGAATGGCAGAAGAGTGCTGGATTTGTATTTGCTGGGAATCATCTGGCTACTGATTTTGTTTTGCAATAAAAGGAGCGCGGTGGTAGGGACGTCCAGTCCCTTCGTGCTGCAGAGACAGAATGACTTCATCTGGTTGCAAGGTTGGTGGTGACTCTGTGTGTTTCTGTGAATGCAGGGCAGCACAACTATCTCTGCGCTGGAAGGAACGACTGCATTATTGACAAAATCCGGCGGAAGAACTGCCCGGCGTGCCGCTATCGGAAATGCCTCCAGGCGGGCATGAACCTCGAAGGTAATCCTCAGCGTCCCGTCCTGCTTTTATTTCTCATCTGGTGCAGGTCCCGAAGCTGAAGCAGCAGCACTTCAGCGTGGTAGAAGTGCTGCGTTCTGTGGTGCGTAGCAGCGTTTTCATGAAAGCGAGATTTTCAGTGCTAAAATTTCTCCCGTGCTTTCCTGTCCCCACTCAGTTGCTTTATCTCCCTGTTATGCACAGCAGAAGTGAGTCATGCATGTGAAACGGGGTTATTTTTTCTTCCTGTCAGCACATAGATCTTGTTGCTTTTTCGGTGAATCTGAGACAGCAGAACTCCAGCAGAGGTCTTGTAGGGAAGTGCCGTGCCTGCCTATTCTTACTTGGGAAAGTGACTTGATGCTGAAAACCACAAATGGGAGGGAATGCCCGGGCGTGTAGCTAAAATTGGAGTGGGCCTTGCATCTTCAAGCTGAAGAAAAGGCAATTACTTTTATTCATGCTGCGGGTTCTTGTTCTTAAATGTCTGATAGAGTCTCCCTAGAAAAGATAATGTACTAAAGGAACAGAAATGTGTTGGTGGTGTTTGTTCTGTGCTCAGTGGTGGATGGCTGATGAGAAACTGGAGACCGCATGAGCTAGAGATTTAGCAACGGCCCTAAAAAGGCATAAAACTTTTTTACTGCTTCCTCTTCGATATTTCTCCTTGAGCCGTAGAGATAAATGCAGTATTTACAAGCATAGTTATTGTGGTGATAACTTGCATCATCAAAGCTGACAGATAAAGTAAAAATGTCAAAAATGTATATTAATATGAACATTTTCTTCATTTCAGTGAAAATATCCTTCAGTGAAATGTAAGTGGTGGATTGTGTTAGAGGTGGGGCCCTCGATAGCACGTCCTTTCCTGCTGTTCTTCTGCCCCTCTCCACCATGAACACCCTGTGTTCCTGCCATGCTGGTGGCTGCTGCCCATCCTTCTGAGCAAAAGGAGAGGACCCAGCAGGCAGAAATGCTTTCCCCCACGCCACACTTGCACATAAATTCCATCCTCAGGAGGGGACTCTGTGGTTTGTCTATGTATCAGTGGGGTCTGTATGCAGGAGGAGCGTGCATGTAGCCTGACAGCCACAGTCTGCAGGCTGTCGGTGGTGTCTGTGCAGGGCATGCAGCTATGTGCAGGGCAGCAGAGCACTCAATGGGCTCCCAGCAGTGTCGGAGCTATGAGGCTGGGTGGCCGACTGGGAAGGCTGGGAGCCAGCAAAGTCATGGCACAGCCAAAGGGAGGTTTCCTTCCCTGAGGTTTGGCACAAAGACTGCTGGAGAGGAGCGAATTTCTGCAAGATGGTATTGTTACATAGGTTGGGAAGGCAAAAAGGAAAAAAAAGAGAGAAAATTGCTTTCATGGCTGAGGGAAGAGATGCCTGGAAACTGAGCAAAGCTGAAATTGTTAGATCCCAAGGTAGTGTGAGAAGGAGAAAAAGAAAACTCTGTGAAAACAGCAGGTTATCAGGTGGGTCTGAATGGTGAATTCTGATGGTGAATTGCCGGTACAAAAGAAACAGTAGAAGTCTGGAGCACAGTATGAAGTGCATGACAGTGTGGAGGCAAGATGGTTTCTTGTACACCAAAGCCGTGCTGCTGAATCATTCTCTCGTTTGCCTTATCAGTCATACATTTGACACTTCTTAGCTCCCTTTTCTGGAATGTTTTTGTGCTATGTGATTTTTTTGAGCTGGGGGCATTGGGAAAATGCGCAGCTGTCAAACTTCAGGCACCAGAAACTGTAGAAATTATTCTACAGAATAATGTAATTCTTTTTTACAGGCTTTATTTCATTGAATTCTTGTTTCCTTCTGTCACTAATTGACCCTAGCCATTGCTTGGCACCCTTTTTCTTTCTGATGCATTTGAAGAAACGATTTGTCACTAGGTTTTGTGCCTGTAGTAAGTCATCACAAAACCTTTTTTGGCTTTTCATACTGCATTTTATAGTTAAACTCTGGGCAACTTATGTTATTTTCTGTTGTCTTCATTTTGAAACCATTTCAAGTTTTTTGTAGGATCTCTTCTTATTTCTCATAATATTAATTGCCTTGCTCTGCAAGTGCAGTGGATGTTGCCTTTCTAGATCCTGTAGAAGTGAGGTGTGCAGCCTCTCCCACTTATGATGGTGTTTCATCTTCTGTGCAGCAGTGAGAGCGTTCCATGTATTGCAGTGAGATGGCGTTTCCACGAAGGTCTCGATCCTCACATTCTCTTTACCACTGAACTTTTGCTTCCAGAGCTTTTCTTCCGTTCTGGCTGGGTTTGTGCCTGTGTGCTCCTCCTCAGCGTTTGTTAAGGGGCTGTTGAGCTGCTGTGGGGTTTGGCACATGGCAGTCTGGCCGGCCGGCATCACACAGCTCGGCTGCGCATGCCCTCCGTGGCAGAGCCCTCCTCTGCCCGCGGCGCTGTGTGGTTGCTGTGTTACCCTGCCCTGGTGCAGGGGTCCCTCCATGAGACGGGGTCGTCCCCGTCGTGCAGCTGGGACCTTGCAGTTGTGTCCGGCTGTCCCGAAGGAGAGGCCCTTCTGTGAGGTGGGACGGACCTCATTCACGGCCTCTGTAACATCCCACGACAATCCTCATCTTTTCAGCTGCGTTGGGACTTTCAACCCAGCTGTGGGCAGCTTGGGAATCCTTTAATGCCGGGCTGCTGGACTGCAGTGTCCACAGTGGGCACTGCTGGTGGGCAGCACAGAGCAGGCACAGCCACACCGCCCTGCACTGCGGCTGCTCTGTTCTCTTCCAGCAGAGCTTTTTGGATGCTGGGGCTTATTTCTGTGCCAGCTTTATCTGTAGGGTTTATCTTTTGCATTTTGCCTTAAGGAGCTGGTTTTTAATTTGTGGTGTTTTTGTATTTGAAAGTGTAAACCTTCCTTTTTTGTGAGTTACAACAATATATCTACGTCAGGTTTAGTAGTGCAGCTTAATAAAATTCTTGCACAATACTTTATCTTATCAGATATTTCTTTGATTGCAATTTTACCAGACTTTCTGGTCTGTAAGTGTTCCGCCCTAGGTGTCTGCATTCACCTGTGGGCATGTGCATGTAAATTTATGTTCATTTAAAAAAGCAGTTCATTTGCTTTTGAGAACAAGGATGATGGCAAGTGTGTGTGTATGTGTAATGCATAAAAGTAATGATAATAGCAACAGAAAGAAGCCCTTTGCTCCAAAGAGCTCGTTATTGCTGTTCTGCCACGGAAGTCTCAGCAGATGTGGGCAGTATTTAAGCTTTTGCAAAAATTCAATTTATGCGAAGTCCACAGGGAATTTCTTATCCTTACAGAGATTCTGAAGACTTTCTCACAGCCAGTGGGAGAAGTGGGGCTGGGAAGGGGACATTGCATTCTGTTAAGCTACAGTCAGTGGACTTCTGGCCAGTAGAGACAGTGACTGGATCAGCAGAAACTTAACAAACATGAAAGCACTTTATGCAATGTTTTTCTATGCTATTGGCTTATCTCTGAAGTTGCAGAAGAAAAATCCATCAATTAATTGATAGAAAGAGAAAGAATTAGGTTTCATTCTGGTCTCAGCCAAATGGTGCATTGAGTTCAGCCTCCAGGAGAGGCCAGGCAGGAGATCCCTTTATTGACAACTGTTGCTTCAGCTTCTAGTTTATGGTTAACATCTCTGTGTGACGTTTTATTTATTTGGCTTATGAACGCAATGGTTTAATTATACCGCAGTGATTTACATGCAAAGAAGCTGGCAAGAGAAAAATCTCCTCCTGCCCAGCGTTTCAAAAAATGTTTTCCCTGGCTCGAGAGACCGACTCACTTCTAACCCATGAAGTATATTTCTTTCCTTCCCTCCGTGTGGCTTCTGTACTTAATATATGGAGGAAATGACGGCATGCCCACTCCTGCAAGTCTTTTCCAAGCAGGTGCTGTTCTGTCACATGGAGCCGTACTGCTCTGTGCGTGTAAAGGTTGGGGCCAGGCCTCGTCTGTGTCCTCCTTGCAGACATTACAGAGAATTTGGCGACATAGACATTAATGTGCCTTCGATAAAAATGTGAAATAAACAGGTTTTCACAGGAAGTTTGGTAAGTATTGAAGTGGAATTATTTGCAGCTTATGAAAAAGAAAAGTCCTTGAGAAGTTTTAATCGTCCGATCTACAAATGAAGGAGAAAGAAGGCAGCATTCCCTGTGCTGTGGATGTAACGGCACGTGGTCACTGCCCGCCACCTAACAGCAGTTATTCGATCTTTCCTAGCCCGCAAGACGAAGAAGAAGATAAAAGGCATCCAGCAGGCCACCGCCACGGGCACCAGGGACGCCGCCGAAGCTGCTGGAAATAAGAGCGTGGTTCCCGCGTCGCTGCCGCAGCTCACACCCACGCTGGTGTCGCTGCTGGAGGTGATCGAGCCCGAGGTGCTGTACTCCGGCTACGACAGCACGCTGCCCGACTCCAGCTGGCGCATCCTGTCAACCCTCAACATGCTGGGAGGACGGCAAGTGGTTGCTGCGGTCAAGTGGGCGAAGGCAATACCAGGTGTGTGTTAATTACAGAGCGCAGTCGGGGTGGCTTGAACGTCTGTCTTCACGTGTGATGTTCTACAGAGCCCTCAGAGGGAAGGACTGGCCGTACTTGAGCTACACCAGAGCTCGGACTTTTGCAGTGGAGCCTTCCCTTTTATAGGCTGGTGCTGTGGTGCTGGCTTATCTGGGTCTGCATTCAGGTGGTTCTGTTCTCTGACCTGTCACCATGTCTGTAGTTTCTTGTTGACTGGGAATAGGCCTTTGAGCGTTCCAGTTCCGGACAGGAACTCAAGATGTTCATTTTCTCTCAAGCCTTGTAGCTTTGTGATTACATGGGGAATTTGGAAATGTTCTTGCTGTTTGGCTCCTGCCTGAAAACACTTAGCAGTTGCCTTACAGAAGACAAATGCAAAATCACATCCGTGGCCATAATGGGTAGCATCCCATGGTGTCTCTGGGAGGGGTTGGGGCCACAGGAGAGCTGAAGATCTGTTTCTATCTGACAGAACAAAGACAGGTGTTTTTCTCCCCTTCTCTTCTGGTCTCTGCCATTACCTGCTTCCAAAACCAAATTGGCAACAGCACTTCCACAGTGTGTTGCATCACTGTGGGACAGCCTGCAGGCTGCTGGCATTCTGAAATAAAACTGACACCACTGGGTTCTGTGTTTGCAATCTCCTCTGGACGGTTCCCCTAAAGAGATGAATCCTTCAGGTTATCACATGCCCTCTGTGAACATAGCGAGCTTCTGCCTAATAATTTTATTAATAGGGGCTATTATTATTATCCTATTTTTACACTTGTTTAAAATTACCAAGACGGTTCTTTGTGGGCATATTTAATTTGTATGTACTTCTGCTAAGTGTTCCCCAGCCCACAGCCTGGCAGTGCAGAATCCTTGAGCTGAGGTTGTCAAGGCAGCCTTTTCCTGAGGAGTTTTTGAGCAAAACTTTTGAGATTTGACCCAGTAAGTTAGAAACAAGCTTGAAATAATTTGCTTCTGTTTTAGCAGCAGTGAATAGTGGTTAATAGTTGTCACTGCAGTCTCCAAAGCCAGAAGGCTGCTTTGAAGCTGTTCAGACCTACCGAGTTTTGCTATTTAATAATCTACTGACTGCTATCCATTTAAACGTCTTCAGGAAGCAGTGCTGTAATGAGCTCTTTAGATGCCAAATGCCTAATGAAATTAAATAAAATCAACTTGAATTCAGACTTTAATAATGATTCATGGTGACACAATGTTTTCTTGTTAGATGTAGGCATGATCCGCTGGAAACTAGCATTGCAAATGAAAAGCTGCCTGCATCTTAAGCCTGTTTAAGGGACCAATTTTCAGATTTTACACATTTCCTCATTATCTTAATTGGCTCTATTCATTCTCCATATTCTTACAAGATTAACTGCCGTCATTAACTGTTTCTAATGCAATGCATATTTTGTAAGTTCTGTATATGATTCTTGAATAAGATCAAAATTTGAAGTTAGATCATTTATCATCTTGTGGACTGCCTGCAAACATTAGGAAAAACACTGTTAATTACAGAAGGTTGCCAGATGAATGGTAGTGAATATTAGATATTTTTGTCTTGTGATCTATGTTTGACTGATTACCTTCTCCACATAATCACACGCACATATTCTGATGTATTTTTTTTTAAGTATGACCTTCTGCTCCCTGTCATACCCATCAGCAGATCCATCTGGCACTGTCATAGAATTACGGAGCCACCAAGGTTGGAAATGACCCCCGAGGTCACCCAGTCCAACCATCCACCAAGCTTTTCCCACTAAATTCCCTCCCTCAGTACAACATCTGAACCTTTCTTGTACACCTGCAGGGAAATCTCCATCCAGAAAGCAGCTCGCAGCAGTTGCAGAAGGCCAGCACTGTTGGTGGCTGTGTGTTTCTGTAGGTGGGGTGCTGAGAGCTTTGTACGTGTAGATGTCAGTGTCATCTATCGGATGAGGTTGAAGCATTACTTTCTGTTAGCCCTGTGGCCTCCCATGTGTCTCCCCATCACTTTCTGCCAGGCCCTGGCCTGTTTCTCCACGTCAGGGCAGTCACCCCACGCCGTGCTGAGCGCTCTGCTCGGACCTCTCCTGGTTCAGCTCAGTTCTCCTGCCCAGAAGCTGTAATCTGAGTGCTACGGTTGATTTTTGCATGTGCAAATATTTGAACGTAACCTTGGTAGTTGGAAAATGGTGTTTGCACCCTTTTAAAGTACTTCTATTTCCAACAAGACTTTCACATTAAAAAAAAAAAAAAACAAAAAAAAAAAAAAACCACCTTCATTTTTGTTCTATATTTTTTTTCTGCTGCCAAGAATGCAGTCTGAAATACAGAAATGCTTGACTGAGACAACTAGCAGCAAGCAATCTTGTTGCAGGTACTGTCATTGCAATTACAGAAATCATTACGAAATTCACTTTAAAAAGCAGTAACCTGCATTGGTGGTACAGAGGTTGTACTGATGGGAAGCACAATCTGTTTCAGAGTTCTTTGTGTTCTGGGTTTGTTTTTGAGGTTTCTTTTGCTACCAGTGCAGCCACACCTCACTGCTTTTATTTTTGTGTTGTTAAGGTTTCAGAAACTTACACCTGGATGACCAAATGACCCTTCTGCAGTACTCCTGGATGTTCCTAATGGCTTTTGCTTTAGGATGGAGATCATACAAACAATCAAATGGAAATCTCCTTTGCTTTGCACCAGATCTGATTATTAACGAGTAAGTAAGACTGCATCCTTGTCCAGTTTTACCAGGGGGATGCAGACTGCTGCAGCCCATCCATTCTGCACGGGAGAGGCGAGTAGCTGGGCAGCAAAGGTGCAAGGATCCCAGGTCCCTTTGTTGTTTGCAGCATTGTTTTCCTTCCAGCAGATCGCTTAGTTTTCACCCAGCTTTACTGAAAGAGAAATGTTGTCAGTACTGAGTGCATTTCCATGAAGTTTTGTGGGAGGTGCTCGTACGAAATGTCCCCTGCTGCCACCCTTCCTGCTCCATTCATTGCAGTCATTCATCTCACCAGAGCCGAAGAAGCTGAAGTTAGAAGTAATTGTGGGAGGGAGGGAGAAGCGTAGCAAACTGCACAGCGTGCTGTGTGTGGTGTGTAAGAGTAATCTTATCTGTTTAGCTAATTCTTGGTTGGTTAAATGTTTGTATCTGAGCACGGGTAAAATGTGGCTTAAAAGGTCGCAAATGGAAAAACTTATGTTGTGTCTTTGTAGTTGTTGAACTTTGTTACCAGTTTTCAAGAGAAAAATGAATTTGCTTCAGTATCTGGGCTTCTTTCTTATCCTGAGCATCATCTTCCCTGTGTTTTTCAAAGTGGTGCTGTGTGGTCACCTGTGCTGTGGAGGACTGAAGGAGGGAACTCTGGCAGAGAAGGAGATGGGCGGCGAGCTTGGCTCGAGCTGTGGGGGTCAGAAGTGGCTGCTGCAGATGTGAGCACAGGGCAGTACTTGCCAGGTGCTGCTCTGCCGGTGTGGCTGCAGGTCGGTCCTGCTGTGCCTCTCGGGCTGGGGAGCCCAGGCTGCCTGTCAGCTCTCCTGCTGGGATGCAATGTGCTGCTGGCCGTGCTCGGCTTCCTTGCTGTGCTGCTCTCCTTGGAGGCTGCTCAGCGATTGCCCTGTGGGGCAGGGTTAGCAGAGCTCCAGAGCACCGCCGCCGCCTCCTGCAGGGTGGTGATGCTAGCAGTGCTGCTGTGTGCTGAGATGTGTTGTCTGTGCTTTGAATGAGTTGCTGAAAATATGTTATGGGTGTCAATGTTGGAGGTTGCTGGGCTGAGCCATGCGAGGTGTGGCTCAGCCACCTGCGGGTTCCAGTCAGCAGGATGTGATCGCTGAGGGTTTGCCATTCTTTTCCTTCATCAAGTGCAACAGTCCATGCAGGACTGTGCAGGGCCGTCCACAGAGCCTACCCAGCACCGGGATTGCACTGACAAGGGTCTGAAAAGCAACGTGAGTGATGAGTTCTGATCGTGTCCCGGTTCCACTCTGCAGGCAGTGCTGCCCCTTGGGCACATTTTGAGATAGTGTTCAGTATTTTTGTTCCTATTGCACTTCAGTTCCTGTTCTCCCCAGTCTGTTCTCTGCTTAAAAACCAGTGGTGGTTACATTTCCTATGGGACTGGCCATTTACATTTCATAATACTTCTTTTGTTGCCACTTATTTGTCTGAATATTCTTCCCTCTAAATATATATCGAGGCCTTCATAAGCTTTAATAATTTCTTCATAGGAATTATTTCTTTTTTTTTTGGGGGGGGGAGGGGGGGGTGCAGATGTGTGCCCCATCTGTGTACTTCTGTTTAAATTATTAGAATATGTCTGTGAAATAAAGAAGTTTCCCCAGGGTGGAGTTAATTGAAGTAACTGACGTCACCAATAAACACGATAGCATCTCAACTGCTACATTCAGGTATCTCCTGCAGTTCTATCAATGGGTCAAAACCACAGAGCTTGGCAGTGAAGCATGTGCCTGTACTCTAAAAAAGCAAGGGTAATCCTCCTCTACTCAGTATTAATTCTCCAAAGTATTCTGGTTAGCAGTTCCGGTATGTGGACTGTTCATTAAGATGACATTTGTTTTCAATAACATTTGTTGACTAAGAGAACTGCAGTTCCTCCTGACTCCTCCTCTGGTGTGCTTCAGGTTCTCTATAAAACTCTGGTCGTAACTTTTTATGTACTATTCAGCAATAAAACACAGCCACCTTTGAGTTAGCTCTGGCAGCTCCTGAATGGTGCATGAAGACGGTGTGAGCTGCCAGACGTGTGCAGAGCACAGTGCTATGGGCCACAGCAGAGATGTTGTGAGCATCAAGAGAATGGCACACAGACCAGGTCTGCTCGTGCTCTGCTTGATGCTGGATTCTACAGATAGCGTTGTGGCACATGACATTCCCAAAAAGGCACTCTGGAGTTCATTTGGTGATTTTCCTGAGATGCGTTGCTTTGTATTTTTCACCCAGCCTCTCCTTTGCTGCTCCCCAACCTCAGGGTCTGAATTAAGATAGCATTTATTATGTTACAGTGATTTATCGTATATTTAGCCTGCTTCCTGTGTTATGTACATGTACAGCATACATATATGTAAAAAGTTTTTCTATAGGTTGTAGAAAAGCTTGGCAGCTCGATGCTTAGGCTTTAGACCATCGCCTGGTTGTTGGAGAGATGTGAGTGCTGCTGGTTCGGTGGTACTGTGTCACCACAGCACAGTTCTGACCGCCCTCAGTCTGCTCACAGCCTCTGTTTGTGTCACAGTGCTCATGGAGTTACAGGGAGGGATGCTCAGTTGTGCTCACTGCATGCACAGATGGCTTTCGATTGCGACCTGGCTTTAGAATGAAGGTTTTGAAAGTTGAGTCTTAGGATTCGGGCTGTGTTTGCATGCACAGCAACCTAGCTTTTGCTGTTCTTAGGTTTGAGCTCGTCTCCTTTGTCTGTACAGAGCTGACTACCACAGCTCTGCACTGGTGCTGCTGGGTCAGAAAGCAAGGAACTGTTAATTATAGTTTTACAAACAGTGTTTTATCAGTGCTCTTATTCCCAGAATTTTTTTGGACATTCTTTTGTAACCAGTTCTGTGCAATCCGTATTGTCTGATTTTCGGAAGGCAGCTTTTTGTTTACTGGTTCTATGGACTTGGCAGAGCCGAATGACTCAGCGGTGCTTTTATCGACATGTGTGTGTGTGTGTGTGTGTACATTAAGTGCAACTTGCACGGGCTGCCATTTGTGCTACTTTTGAGCCTGATGCCCAACTTGCACTCTGCTTTCTGTTTACCAAAGCAAAAGAAGATGAGATATTACAGAACAGAGATATGTTTTGAATCAGGCTAGATACACAGTCACTAACGCAGAATTGCTTCAGAGATGATAAACAGCCATTAGTCAGCTGCTTAAATCTCAGCTTCTGTGAAGGCCAGGAGTTGCACAAACGTTGCACTGTTGCACTGTGTGGCCCATTGCACTCTGCCTGGCCAGCTGCCTGCTCTGCTCCCATCAGCTCTTCCTGGGCTTGGGGTACCAGCAGCACTCAGACCTTCCCTTCCCCTGGCTGCCCAGGGCCGGTCCCCATTGGGGCTTTGCTTGAAGGCCCTGCAGTCGGTCGGGTTCTGCTCCTCCTCCCTTGCTGGCAGCTGAGCTGGTTGCATTCCCACAGGGCGGTGAGGGGCAGAGCTGGGCCCTCTTCCCAGCCCTCCTCCTCACTGCCCCCAGCAGAGTGCAGCTCTCTGTTGGCTCAGCTCAGAGCAGAGGGGCCATGCTGCACTTTCAGTTTTTGCGGACCACCATTGCCACAGCTTTGGTAGTAACAAAAATCTGCATGGAGATAGAATGGATTCCCAGACTCGGGGTGATGTCTGCATCTACAGCAGATGGAAACAAATGACAGGCCGACCCATTTCATAACATTTCTTTTAACCTTCTGCCCAGAAACGGTCATACTTCTACACGAGGAAAACTGCTGAGCCCTGTTGTGGAATGTGTTTGAATTACCCAATTGCAATGCTGTTCGATGCCCTTTGACACAACCCAGAGGGCTCAGCAGAAGTTCTTCCAAGCAGCCGGACGGCGCACACCGGCAGCCCCGTGTCAGGTGCTCTGAGCAGCTGCCTGCAGCACAGCGCCCTGCACGGACCCAAAGCGTGCGAGGTGAGCGCGTGGCTTCAGCTGCCAGCACGGCGCCGCCGCTGGATGCAGGGCTGTGCAGCTCCAGGAGCCCCGGCTGCCCGGTGCTGCAGTGAGCAGCCCTGCCGTGCCTCAGAAGGAACGGGTCGTGTTTGCATTTGGAAAAGGTGGGGTTTCTGGACTTGTGCCTTACGTGGTTTTTAGCAGATCTAAATAGCTTGTATTTCTTGCTCTTATTCTTAGGATTTTTCTCTTACTCTTAGGATGTTGCACCTCAAGGAAGGTGTGTGTGCTTTGTGTTGGCTGAGGGTTTCCTATGCTGCTTCCCAGCAGCGCAGTTACGTTTCTGTTGCAGGCATTGGCTCTTGGAGGGCAGAAAAAGGAGAACTGAAAGATGCTAGCAGCTCCAGAGGAAATGGAGCCATTTCATAACCAAATCCTTCTCTTATACTGGGATTCAATTTCATTTCTTTGTTGAGATTCTAATATTGAATAGAAAATGTTTCGGAAGAGGTAACACTGAGTTTCAATGTTATTCTCCTGATGCTGCAGTTTGGGGCCTCTGCTTCCATGTGGTGACTGAGGCACTCACCCTAAGGGAGTTCCCTGGAGAAAACTGAAGGCTCTTTTGCTGTAAGCCAAGTGCTGACATCTGCCACCCCACTGGTCCTGAGGGAAGGATGGAGAAACTTAGATTTGGAACTTGAAGACGCCATTTAACTAATTGTTGTCTTTACTTCTCAGGCAGAGAATGAATCTACCCTGTATGTATGAACAATGCAAACATATGCTGATGGTTGCCCGCGAGCTGTCACGGCTTCAAGTCTCATATGAAGAGTATCTCTGCATGAAAACATTGCTTCTCCTCTCTACAAGTAGGTAAACATTTAAACACCTGTGTGAGCAATGCGAGCTTACCTTGTCAGTGCCATGAAGTGTGTGCAGCGTGGCACGGTGTGAGGTGTCTGATCACAAATAGCTCTCGCAGTGCTCAGTTTGCTGCCTGACCACAGGGGGTGACTGAGAAGTTCTGCTCAGCAGGTATGGGATGTTTGTGCCATGGCAGTGCAGACTGCATGCAGACCTTTGCAGCTCCAGCAGAGCCCTAAGCCACAGACTGGCTGAGCAGTTAGCACCCAAAGAAGTGGCCGAAGCTCTGATTTAAGCCCCAAAAATATTTGAAAAAAAAAATCAGAGAGCAAGGTCTGATCCAGTGAAATTATTTCCTCCCAAAAAAAGTGACTGAACTCTCCTAAAAGTTATTGCCAAATGCAACTGCTGCTTTCTGCATTTGCATCTAGAAAATACGTAGTGGATTTATGATAGATATGATAAGGTAGATGTATATAATATGCTGCACAGTGGCTTTATGTGTCTTTCAACGAGATGAACTGTAATTGGAACAACTCACATCTTAATCATGTTCTGTTTTCTGTATTGCATGGAATGTCAAAGGATAGCACCAAAACAGTCCTTTTCTGGACTACATACAACAATGCTAACATGAAGCATTGTGTAAATGATTTTACAGTGTAATTTCTACTCTGTATTATTATTCCTTTCTACCTAATGATTTTTTTTCTCTCTTCACACACTGTTGTTGTAACTCCCTGACAAGCTTCAATTTTAACCCTGGCTCAGTGCAGTGCAGACTGAGAATAGCTGGGGAGATGCAGCAGGGATGTGCATGTGCACAAGGGGAGGTGTGAGCAGTGGGGGCTGTGAGCGATGCCAGCCCTGTTCTCAGCCCTTCAGGGGTCCCCAGGCCAGCTGTCCCATGTGCAGAGGTGCTCCTGAAAAGAAATCATCACTGCCACAGCTCCACACTGCTGCGGTTTGTAAAGGCTGCAAACTTTGCTCAAATGGGAGATTTGAATCTAAAACCTCTCCTGAAAATTCCTGACGTGTTTTGGGCGGAAGGGAGGCCAACTTTCCTACAGGATCTGGAAATTTCCTGATGGGAATTTCCATGTCAGGAGTGGGAAGGAGGCCGCCGCAGTAGAATTGAGCCCATTCACGAGCGATGTGTGACAGGCGCTGGCCCGCAGAATCCTTCTTTGTTGTCCCTCCCTGAAAGACAATACGCTCTCACATTGCTCTTGGAGCCCGCCTGCTGTGCAAGTGGTACGCTGTGGCACTTCTGAGAGCTGAAGGGCTGAAATGTGCATCGTTTTGTTCATCTGTGGCTTCACAATTATAATTCCTGGTTACTGCGTTCCCGGGGTCTTTTCTAAGAGAAGAGGAAGAAGAGGGGGGAAGCGGAGCCCCGGGGGCCAGAGCACCCATTGCACATGGCTGTCACACACAGACCTTCTCCTTACACACGATGGGCACGGCTGAAGGCAGCATCACGATGCCATCTCCTGCATGGGCCAGGCAGGCTGTGGCACCGCAGGTCCCCGAAGGGGCTGTGTTGTGGGGGCCTCCTTTCACCCTGACCTCTTTTCCTTTCTGTCTGCTCTGTCTGTGCTCCGTCCCCCTGTAGTTCTTGTCATTTGCTTCAGTGCAGGGACAAAAGGCTGCACCTCATGGGTAGGGCCACGTGTGTCCATCTGCCTGCTGCACCACACTCGGCCTTGGGAAGGGCCTTCCTACCAGCTGCGCGGGGTGCCGGCCCCCCTCCATCCTCATCCCTCCTTGTTCCTGGGTTGCCTGTAGTTGTGTGTGATCTTCTCTTGGCCAGCAGCCCTGTGCTGTATGTTGAACCAGTTGTCTGTCTCAGCTTCCTCTCCTCTTCCTTCTCTCTGAGCTCTCGTTTCTTTTCGTAATTGAAAATTGTGTCCTTCTAGTTGTTTTTGCATAACTCATGTAAGATTGCCCAACTAATAGCGCAGTTCATAGATGTATAACCTAGATGTGTGTCGCGTTCCAGTTCCTAAGGAAGGCCTGAAGAGCCAGACTTTGTTCGAAGAAATTCGCATGACATACATAAAAGAGCTGGGAAAGGCCATCGTGAAAAGAGAAGGGAACTCGAGCCAGAACTGGCAGCGGTTCTATCAGCTGACGAAGCTGTTGGACTCTATGCATGATGTAAGTCCTGAAGGGCTCCGGGATGTGGCTGTGCACTGCTCTGCCCTCAGCTTCGCTTCGGGGCCAAGTGCTGTGGGCTGGGAGGTGGTATGCGATGTCTATGAAGGACCAGGTGGAAGAGATGAGCTTTCTGCTCTCAGAGCACCTTTCCAATGGACTCTGTGGCAGTTAGATTTTTAATTAATGTGTATTTCAGTCTCCGGTTTTTAAAAATGGTATTGCTTTGGAACTGAGGAACTGTGACCCCGAATGCGCGGAGCTGCCAGGCTGTGGCTCAGCTGGACAGGGCGAGGGAGATTGCAAGACCTCAGTTTTCCTTTCCCTGTTAGTTTACCTGGAAAGATTTTATTTAGATTATCCGTGTTTCTGTGATTTGTACGCTAAGATTAGAGCTGATGCAGCGTGCCTTCGGTGTCTGTGAAGAGCTGGCACCATCTCCTCCTAGATCTGCGTGAGGATGGCGCGGATGGGAGCGGCGGTGAGGCTGAGCTGAGGGCGGCCGCTGGCAGAGCAGGGCTCAGCAGGGACGGCTGGGGAAGCGGCGCTGCTGTGAGCAGTGGTGTGAAAGTTTCTCTCTGCTTTGTCCCCCGTAGGTGGTTGAAAATCTTCTGAGCTTTTGCTTCCAGACGTTTTTGGATAAATCCATGAGTATTGAGTTCCCAGAAATGTTGGCAGAAATCATCAGCAACCAGATACCAAAATACTCAAATGGAAATATAAAGAAGCTCTTATTTCATCAGAAGTGACTGCCTTAATACAAAAGGGTTGCCTTAAGAAAACGTCAAATGATAGCTTTTTTCTTTTTTTCTTTTCTTTTTCTTTTTCTTTTTTTTTTTTTTTGTAAAGACAGAACCTACCAGACTTGTTCATTTTGTCCTTGCAGCGGTGTTTCTTTTGTAATTATGCACTACATGTGGTTTACAGAGGGCCAAGATTTAGGCGATAGAAGCAGCGGATTCCTCACATTTAATACTTAACTGGGGAGAAAGGAAAGAAGAATACATTTTGCTTGCCAGGAATTGTACTTCTCCCCCTGTGCGACACCAATGGATGCATCAAAACCACCGGTGACAAGATCTGAGGCTGTGTTACGAACATTCTGCTAATTAATTTCTGCAGTTGGCTGGAAACAATTTTATTTTTTTGTAATGCGTTTTTGTTTTTTTTTTTTTTTTTTTTTTTTTAAAGTTAAGGTAGCATTTTGGTTTATGCATGTAACCTGAAGAAAGTTTACAAGTGTATATCAGAAAAGGGAAGTTGTGCCTTTTATAGCTATTACTGTCTGGTTTTAGCAATTTCCTTTCACTTTATATACCGTGAACGAGGCTTGTTCATTTTTTCTTACATAATTTTTTTGTAATACTTCAAGATGCCTATTGTACAGCTGGTTTTTTAAGGCGGGGCAGCTCGTAGCTTTCCTAAATGACCTCTAGATGTTCATCCTTGAGTATATTCGTGTGGAAATGGGTTGGGTTTTCTAACCTGATAGCTTTCAACTGTCGAGGCGACCGTAAAATTTGGCATTTTTTAAGGGCCTGGGTGGGTGGGAGAACACTCTCAAATCTAATTTCAGTAGATGTGAATGAAACAAATACTTTTGGTATAATGTACAAAAGCGTTGGATATGCAGATTCATAGAGAATTAACACAGTCCTAACTGGATGTAAACGAGCAGGTTATTTTATATATTATAAAAACAAAAAGCCTGATTTTTGCATATAATGCAACAGCCATAACTACGAGAGTCACGGGCTGCGTTGATGCCAAGAAGATCAGTCCTGACCGCCCATCAGGAAACCTTCAGGAAAATATGCATAGCTTCAGAAAAGTTTACTTCTGCGCGGAGGACCTCGCGCCTTCCGCGCCCCGAACCCAGCGCCGCGCAGGACCCGCGGGAGGGCGGCCGTGGGGCAGAGCAGAGGCTGCCCCCCTCTGCGCCCGGCGCTTCGGCTCCGCTCTTCTGTGCCGCTGGGCTCCGGGCGCGCGGCCCCGGGGCGACGTCGGAGATGTTGGCTCCGCTGGCGCCGCCCGCACCTCGCACGCAGCGGCCGCAACCCGCGCGGCGCCGCCGCCTCTCGCCTCTGCTTCGCCCTTCTCCTCGGGAGCAGGAGAGCTCCGCTGCCGGCTTCGTGGTCCCGCAGGTGTACGTCCGCCCTTGTCTGTGTACGGCTGCGTCCCTTCCTATCGAGTGACTAGCGTGCCATAAATCTGCCATAGGTCTCGTGAATCTCTCCTCGTTGCCATGGGTAGCTGTATTTTGAGACGTTTAGAAGCTGTAGTAGCCTTTTCTACCTGCACCTTAACGATTTTCTGTGTCTCGAAATTGAAATATTTACCAAGCCACTCTAAAATTTGATTTGTACTGAAAGTGGCCCGATTATTTGTGTAATAGCGACGAGAAAAATCATCTGGGAAGATACAAAACCTAATATATTTTTGTATTTAGTTATAGTTTCCAGTATGTATAATCGGTATATTCGCTGATCTGAGAAAAGAAGGGAAGGGCTACTGCAGCTTTAAAAGCAATTTATTAATGACTGTAAAATAGCTTGTATAGTGTATAATAAGGATGATTTTTAGATGACAGATTGCTTTATCATGATACATGTAATTATATTTTTTGTAGGGGTCACGGATGTGCTGAATGGTAACCCGTGCCAGCCGTGCTTTGTCTGGAGGTAGTGCTGAAGGCACTGACATTCAGCATCCAAAGAAGTACTCTGTCAGAAAGAAACAAAAAGCAAACCTGTGTTCAGTGGCTGTTTCTAAGGTTGAATTTGCATTTCTCCAATCACTGTGTCAGAGCGCAAGTCGGACCTTGGGCGGAACGCTCCCCTCCGCGCCTCCGCCTGAGCGGATGGGCTCCCTTCGTAGACAGCCGCGCGCCGCAGCGAGAGCAGCTGGAAACATTGGGCAATAATATGCATCAGGTACCAGCAATATGTAAATACAGAGCGTAGGTTGTTCACAACACACCAGTTCCTTTCTGCCGTTCAGCAGAAGCTCGTTTCCGAGCGAGATAGGAAACTCGATTTTTCATCCTTTCTTAAACCTTTTTGAATGTTATACCTATGAAAGAAAAAGATGCTATATTCAGTACTTTGGAGTAAAATATCGTCTTTAATAAAAAGCAAAAGTTCTTCTCCTCTCTTTGAATGATCTGTACAAAACACGTACATTTTATGGCAGTTTTAGGTGCCCTTCAGCGCTTGGGGGCGGCTCTGGGCCCCTCAGCCCTGGGGATGCACGCTGCGGCGCTGCGCTCTGGCAGAGCTCTGCTGGAGATCCACCGTTGCAGCTCCGTGTGCAGGCGGTGCGTGCAGCCCTTCTGCAGAGTTGACGTGTGCAGATGTGCTTCTGCTCTCTTTGGTCTGGTTTTTTTGGCCTTTGCTTTTTTTCTTTTTTCTTCTTTCTCTGGTTTATTTCCCCCTCCTCCCCCCAGCAGAGAATTAACTACAGTGAATGTGAACAAATCGTTGTCGTCGCGAGAGAGGCGGTAACTGAGGAGAGGAAAGGAGAGGAGAGGCTGCCGCCCCTCTGCTCCGTGTGCCTGCAGGTTCCTTTCGGTTCGCGAGCGTAAGGAAAGAAGGCAGCTGTGGTGTTCGGAGGTGGCATCCACGCTGCACGCGCTGTTGAGTTTGAAGCGTCACGGTTACAAACGCGTCGTGTTTGGTGAGCAGTGAGGAGTACGCGTGGTGTGTGTCATAGTCCTGTAGCACTGGGCAGTATCTGCACTCTGGGTAAAGCAGGGAGAATGGCGACTTGTGTCCCTTCAGTGCCTTATCACGGTGCGTGCGTCCGCGCGGGGCGTCGCGCTCGGGGCTGCACGGGGCGACAGGAGCGGCCTTAAGGAGGGCAGCGGGGATGCGCCGGGGGCCGGTGCCGTGTTGGGCTTCAAAACGCCCTTGCCCTTTTTGCTACGACAGGTCAGGAATAGGAGGAAGTGCCTGGGTGAGGGTCAGCCCGCTCCCGCTCCGTAGCGCTGGGCGAGGGCTGGGGCCGCGGCTCTGGGGGAGCGCCGTCGGCGTGCCGCGGCCCGGCACCGCGCAGACCCTGCGGCTGCTTTCGGTGTCACATAGGAACCAAACGCTGGGGGAAGGAGCGGAGCCGCTCCCGAGGATGGGAGGCGTGGGTGCTGGGGAGGCTGAGCGCGAAACACCCCGCCTCCACCAAGCGCGGGACAGCTGCGTCGGCCGTGTGTCAGTACTCTATTTTGTATATTCAAAGAAAGATATATAACGGGGACAAATCCTATATCGTACCGGTGTATGGCATTATTACAAAAAAAAATCATTATTTTTATCACAGTAATTTTAAACAGCATAAAAAAATAAAATTAAACCAGTGACTCCTGTTTAAAAATGAAAGTTGTAGTTTTTTATTCATGCTGAATAATTCTGTAGTAACAAGTCTGTAGTTTTCACCGACTCAGTGAAATGTTGGACTGTAAAAGCTTGTGTGGAATTGTTGAGCATTTATTTTTTCATTTAAATTTGCTGTTCTGGTAATACAAAGCCACACATCTGTACAGAAGTTGCAGTAAATGTGAGCCATTTACAGCAATGCCGAGTAATGGACAGAAACCATACAATAAAATTCTGCTTTTTTCATTAAATGGCTCCAAAATGCCTCTGTGGAATTGTCGCCGTGTTCCTGGGTGGGTTCCCTCACGTTGTCACTGCGCTCCTCACACGCACACAGTATTTATAGGAAAGCTGATTGCTGCTGCAGTTCCCAAGTGAGAGAATTTCTGCTAATTGCGTTCGGAGGAGCGTTTTAGTTGGAAATCATGGCTTGCATTTTCCAGTCCTTGCCACTGAGGTTCTAACTCCCATTTTCGGGTTGGGAGCCCCAGTCGAAGCGGTCTGTGCCCCCGGGGCTGTGGGATGGGGCTGTGTCACCGCTGCTGCAGCTGTCAGTGCAGCACTCCGTCCCGCCGTCGCTCGGCGGAGCTGCGGGTGTGCTGCTCTCAGCACGGCCCCTCCTTTGCCCCATTGAATAGCAGTGTAAGGACAGCCGTGTAATAAAATCGGCTTTAATTGCAGCATAAAATGCCAGCTTCCCAGCAGGGCACGGTCGATGGGGATTGTTTGCCATCAGAACAAAGAGTTACATAAATTTGGCTTTGGTTCTTCCCATGCTTCACGTCTGTAGGCCGAGGGTTGGAGGCAACACGAGAGCGGGATTGACGGCAACGGCATTAATTTGTGTGACGGTGGTGAAAAGACCCTTTAAGGGACACACTGGATCCTAGGTGAAACAACTGCCTCCTGCCCACAGCACTGCAGCACGGCCTGCACTGCGCTGCCTGGCAGTGTGCAGCAGTCACCAGAGGTCCCTGAGTGCCACCAGAGGTCCCCGAGTGTCCCCTGTGTCGCACTGCGCTGCTCAGCTCCTCACCCAGAGGTGTCAGGATGGCTCCCAGCAGCGTGGGGCCGGGCGCGGTGCCACACTCATTGGGCATCCATCTCCATCTTCCAGGAAACCCAGATGGAACCCAGCGTGAGCCTGAGATCAGCGATGGCCTTGCTTTGTTTTGTACACGCTATCCCCATAAAACGACAGAATTTGAGAGCGGTTTGGACAAGATGCCATTAAATGCTGTTTTTATAGTGCTGACATTCGGGTGTCCCAGCCCTCAGCCCCCGGGGCATCGCCACCACTGGGCAGCGGCTCCTCCAGAACACATCTCAGAGCGAACCCAGGAGTGAGTGGGGATGTCCAGAGCACAGCCGAGTGGGAACCCCAGCACAAGGCATGGAGATGCTCAGACCTCCGGGTACAGGAAGGAACCTGCAGTCAGCAGGACCTGCGGAGGTCCATTCTCCTTCCGCTGCGCCGCCGGCTGTGGCACAGATCCACATTGTAATTAAGGATATTCCCTGAGGTCACCGCAGGGAGCTTTAAGTTTAAAAAATAACAAGTAAGTGGAACCCTTCTAATTATAGGCTCTGTTGGTTCAAGATTAAACCGCATGAATAGGGCGAGGAGAAACTGCTGACGCGGCATTTAACGCGGCCGCTAATTGCATCGCTAATGTGACGGGATGGGGCGATGCTTCCTGCGGGAGGGGCTTGGCTCTGCAGAAGTGCCCGTTGTGCCCGGCGAGGCGGAGGAGGGGAGGCTGAGCTGCCATGGCCCAGAGACAGACCCCGATCCCTGGGGCACCACGGGGCTGAGCTCTGCAGCGGCACGAGGTGTATTTGCACTTATCCATGCCGCCGCTGGATGTGCTGCTGCTCAGGGACGTGTTTGTATCTCATACATTAGCAGAGGAGCACATGTGTGCTCCTAAGCCCCACGCAGCGCTCCTGTGGCCGCACACCTGCACAGCCCATCCCTCCAAATCACAGCGGAGGTGAACCGGGAGGAGCAGGGTGTGCCGAGGGGATCGGGAGCTCTGCAAGGATCACATTGGTCCAATAAGCCATTAAGGAGCACTATCTGCCAAAACAATATGCCAGTAGTTTGTGTCCCTTGCCAGAAGTACAATGGTTTTGCCGCTTATCCTTTCCATGGCCTAATTCATGCTGCTCTACAAACACTGCTTTTCCCATCCTGTGGCCACCGCTCGCTTTTTGTGCAGCTGTGGCAGGGGGAAAAGTGCGCTCTGTGGACAGACTGCAGGGCCCTCCATGAGCAACGTGTGCTCAGAGCACCGTGAAGGGCTGGGCCCTCCCTGGTACCCACAGCTCTTCCCCCTTCCTGAGTGCGTCACCGAGTTTTAGAGCCCAGGTGCTATTTTCTGGGCATCTTTGTCTGAGGTTTAGGAGCAGAACTGCCTTCATTAGCAGAGGGAGCATTCATAATGGGAGATAGCAGGTGCTGCCTGGTGAGCTGCCAGCAGCTGTGCTGTATTACCACTGCTCTGTGGCATGTCTGGGGGTCCCAGCTCCACACACACAAGAGAGCTGAAACACCTGTTTTTTAGGGGAAAAAAAAAAAACAACAAAACAAAACCTATATACTTCTAACTTAAAAAATCAAATTAGCCCAAATGTACCAAGTATAATTGCTTTGAGGTTTCTGGTTCATTAGAATAATTAAAATACCGTTCATTTTCTAAGCAGAAGCTGTCCCTTCAGCACAGGTGACGCTCCTCTGTTAATTTGCCTTAAACCAACCCAGCTCAGGGGTTACAACACCAGGTGTGCTCAGCTCTGCCATCAGACCCCCCTGCCCCCTCCTCCAGCACTGGTATTGCAGCTGTGGAAGCGCCCTGAGAGAGGGGAACTGGGGAACCGTCACCATCCCAGAGGGCACACAGAGCTGTTCTGAGGGCTGCTGTTGCTTTCCTTGCTCTGCTGCCGTCCACTGCTCCGATGCGGGCCCAAGGATGAAGTGCTGCTGGGAAAGAAGAATGAATGGTAGGAAAAGCAAATCCCGTCCCATGCAGGAGGTGCCTCTGGGCTGCCCTGTGATGATGGGGGAGGGAGGCAGCATGGGCTGGAAATGCAGCACTGCCATCCGACGCCATCCCACAGTGGAAAGCAGCTCCCGTGCAGCCAGGGAAATCGGGTTCCCAGTCCTGAGCAGGAGCCCAGCTCTGCTCTCTGTGTGTTTCTGTGTCCTGCAGCCCGGGCACATTCGCAGACACACCGCATGCACAACCCATTCCAGGCAGCCCCGTCAGGGGATATTTCTGGTCTGTGGATTTTATTACTGAGTGCTATTCCAGGCCTGCTGTCATTTACCGTGAGCTGCTCCGCAGAGCATCAGAATCACAAGATTTGTGCTATTTCAATCATTCCTTTGGAGCAGCCCAGACAAGGAGCTGGGCTGGGGTGAGCTCCCAGAGCCAGGCAGTTTGGAGCTCAGAGGCAGAAGGCCATGGCTGTCACCTCTGGGATGTGGGACACAGAGACCCCCTGCACTGTCCTGTGGCAAAGGACAGTGCTGGTTTTCCAGCTCTGTACAGGGGCTGTCTAACGTGCTGCTCCCAATGGGCTTTGCATGGAGCACGCTCTGCCTTTGGTCATCCAACAATGAAATGCAGATTGCACGAAGCACTGTGTGTTACTGCCCCGTGTCCGTGAGCCCTCAGCTCCTGCAGCTCCTGCAGCCTCTTTCTGCAGTGCTGTGCCTTCCTGCTGGGCTCCTGGTGCTCTGCCTCTTCTGCTGTGAGCTGCGGGGCCTTAGGCTGAGCCTACAGCCCATGAGTGTGGTGGGGAAACCTGCACTGTGGGGCCAGAACTGCCCAGAGGCACCGAACCCACTGCAGCCCCACAGGGTTCCCATTCTGTCCCACTGCTGCCAGGAGCCATGCTGTGCCACGGGTGGAGCAGAACAAAGGGCAGTGACAACACTCATGCTGAGAGATGACCACCACCCCAGTGAGACAAAGGGAAAGCCCAGGGAGGGCCGGGACTTGCACAGATGCTCCTTGAGCTGCTTGGGTTTATGCTGTGAAAGCTCCCAGATACATCAGAGGAACTCCTCTGTGTCAGCAGAGCCATCAGCTGGCTGCAGCAGGAGCCCCTAACGAGCATCTCCATCCCATCCTCACTTACAGCCTCTTCCAGGCTGTCGGCAGAAGTGAAACTAAAATCAGAGCCATCATTCTTCTAAGGAAAATTCCAGTGCTACAGTTCACTGAACAAAGTGGCAGGCAGCCCCTGAAATAAATATAACAGAACTTCGCCGTCAGCATTAGAGCTCAGCCCTTTCCCACAGCAGAGGCGTTTCTCTCACCCTTCATGGCAGGCAGACACACAGCAGTGTGAGTTACAGCCCTGTGGTGCTACGATGTCCTGCAGCACGGCCACGGCTGCTCAGCACAGCTGCTCCACGCAGCCCCACGCAGCCCTGCAGACAGCAGCACGCAGCCTTGCAGCACCACACAGCCTCCCAGCACACCGTGGGACCAGCAGAGCTGCCTGCAGCTGGCACTGAGGACGCAGCCCCCAGCTCCCCATGTGTGCCACAGCAGCGAGCAGAGCACCAGGAGCTGCCGCCGCATGCAGCTGTAATTAGCTGTAATGGTCTGGGCTGCAATTCAGGCCCCCGAGCTCAGCAGAAGTCATCTAGAGACAAGACAATTACCAGGAGGATGTTTTGTCTGACTGCTGAGACAGATGGGAATCTGAAAAATTCATGGCCAGGGTCTGAAATTGTTGCTCTCCCTGAGTAACAGCAGCTCGAAATACCCACACCAGCCAGCCCTCCCCCAAGGAGCACAGGGCTGCAGCACGGCCCGGGCAGAGCCGGCTGCTCCCAGAGCAGAGGAGGAGCTGCATCGCTACTGCAGAACCCCACAGGACCAGTGACAACCCCATCCCCACTGCAGCAGCCCCTGGCAGTGCCTGGAGCATCCTCAGTGCGTGCCGCTCCTGCAGGCTACCCGACACCTCAGAAAATCACATGAATTAGCAAAAGAGGCTTTCTCAGTGATGCACACATCTAAAAATTAAGAGCTGCAGTTGTTGGGTGTGTTTTTTAGATCAGCAGCTTTGCTCCTTCCCAGAGGCTTCAGCCAGCCTGGCTTTTTCCTTCGTCCTAACTGTTCCCTTACTCTGTTACACAGCCTCACACCATTTAACCCCATCTGGGGCCCAGATGTGCTCGCTTTGTCCTTCCCCACACTTGGGGTCGGGGGGGCACCGCTGCCACTGCTTGGATGGGCAGGGATGGGAAGGGGGAAAGGATGGAATGAGAATGGGGAAGGGAGAAGCAGTGTCAAGAGAAGCAGAGCCACTGCCCTCGGGTCTGGCAGGGAAGGCAGCACCACCACAGCCCTGGAAAGTACTTAAAAAAATAGCCTGACTTTTCCTTGTCTTTTTTTTCTGAAGACAAAAGTCCACGAAGTTTAATTACTGTGAATGAACTTTAAAGAGGTCTGAAATTTCAGCTTCCCCTATTTCTCAGTGACACAGGGAAGCAAACAGAGAGGCCAAGGCCCAGGGCTGTCTGAGGATGTCGGTGTGTTTGCAACGTCTTTTTCCATCACCGGTTTCAAATGTCCTTCACTCCTCTCCTTACAGCTCCTCTAAAAATATCAAATAATATAGATCTTCCCCTCATTATATTTTAAGATTCTCTATTTATACATTAATTCTTTCAAAAATAAAAAGTGACACGTACATACAGCAATCCAGTCACTCAGAGGCTTTAAAATTATTACAAAAGGACAAAAAGACCCCATCCCACCACGCGCGCGGGTCTCTGCCCACGGGCTGGCTTTTCCTTCACCATTCTCTATCACAAAGTAGAACCATCTCCAGCTCCCCGCAGGTCCAGCTCTGCAGGGCCCCCCTCCCACCCTCCTCCTGGAAATGCACCCAAGGGTGAGAGGTGCGGCAGGGACCCGCGTCCTTCCCGAGGTGGGCACAGAGCTGCAGTTTGCTGTCCGGAGGCTGCAGGCCAGCTCCCCCAGCCAGGAGCATCCCATGGGCACACGTCCTTTACCTCACACAGGCAGCACCGTGCAGGTTGGCACAGCAGATGAGGGACAGCAGCGGTGGGAGCAGCACAGGAGGGGGCTGTGCCCTGCAGCGGGCAGCGGAGACACGGAGCAGCCAAAGGGAGCGCGATTTGTCGGATCGCCCTGCAGGAAGGAAACGCCGGCTGCACGCATTGCAGATGTTTACCTTGTGTAAACTTAGACCTAAAAACAAAAGGAAACAGTCAAAGGGGTTGGTCTGGGATGGCCGCCCGCCCTTGCCAGCCAGGCAGGGTGCAGGGGGGCTCGGTGCCGCTGCACTGCTGCAGAGCAGGGGGCTGCGGGCCGGCCGAGGGCTTCTGGCTGCTGAGGCTTCTCCTGCGCTGGGCAGAGCGTAGGTCGGCTCCGGGCCTGCGGCCGATGATGCTCCTTGCAGCTCACAAGCACTGCAGCAATGGGGACAGCGGTGCTGGTTCAGAGCAGTCTGCAGACATTCCCCCAGAGCTGCAGGCCGCTGCTTCGCTGCTGTCCTCGTGGCGGTGGGGGCTCCGGGCTGGGGACGCAGCGCTGCAACACTGTTGGCCATGGGGAGCCCTTCGCCCCCAGCGCACGCAGGGCCAAGCGGTGCATGGATACCAGGTGATGCTCAGCAGTCCCGCTCACGTGCCCAGCTATAGGAACTCCACGTAGTTCTCAGGGATGAGCCCAGTCTTCCCGTTGAGCGTCCCTTCCAGCCAGCCGGGCTCCTGCGATGGGTGCACTTGAGGAGAGAAGCAAGAGAAGTGCGTTACCGTGGGGCTCACCGCGTCCTCCAGCCCTGGGCCAAACCCTGCAGAAGCTCAGCTGAGCATGGCCCATTCCCATGGCCTGAGACACCCCAAAACTGCAGAGGTGATTCCATGTCCACATCCAGCTCACTGCTCCACAGAGCACTCAGGTTCCTCCACCCCGTCCTGCTACAGCCTCACTCAGTGCAGAACAGCAATTTTCTATTGACAGATCGCAACTGACACAAACCAGGAAAGATGGAACTGCTGTAAGTCCAAACATCTCTGTGCTTTGGAAAGGCCCAGTCTGCATCAGTTCAGCAGAGCCCGTCGCTGCTGGAGATGCTGTTGAGGGTGATTACAAATAAACACCTCTACCCTACATTTACTGACATTGGGTTTACAGAACCCCTTCACCATAAGACATTTCTAGGGTGCTCTTTCCAACCCACTTCCCCCAGCCAGCATGCAGCCCAGCTGCTCAGTGGCTGGGACATGCTGTAGACTTTTTCCTTTGAATAATCCACTGATTTTTATCTGGCAAACACAATGCATTCAAATCCAGCTTGCTCCCCTGCTAGCTGCTCAGATTCCCACGGGCCCTCAGAGGGGAGACTGCATTTATTTGTAGGATATCTGTGGTGCTGCTTAGGAAAAGCATTTCTTTAATTCACCTGTATTAATTTTCTTCCCCTCTCTGCTATGTTCTCGTACAGCAGGACAGGGCTGTGCGCGTGGGAGCAGCTTCTCAAATGACAGTGCTTAGCACATAAAAGCCAACAGCCACTTGGAGAACAGTAAAAAGTTTTTTCTTTACACTGGGATTATATCTAAAACAGAACTGCCTAATTCCATTGGGCACAGCCTCCTTCCCCTGATGCAGGAAACAGAGTCTATGCTCATTAACACAGTCTCCAAAAAGCGCAACTGATCATGGGCCACCTCTTCCAGCACTCGGTGTGCAGAGGGAAAAGGCCCTCATCACTTCTCCATCTCCTGCACCAAACAGTACGGCAGCTGCAGGGGGAATTGCTGTGCCAGAATTTGGAAGCTCACCTCTCCCATCCCCAGAGCAATCAAAGAACTTTGCTGAATGGTGATGTCCGCCAACCGCCCACTGCCTTTTGTCTTGGATCTCAGTGATGGGTCCGTGGGAGGGATGCAGTGGGGTCACAAAGCCTGCATACTGCAGTGACAGCCCCAGCTCTGCTCGTGGCCTCTGATCCTTCCCACCTGCCCCCACCTCACGTCTCCCTGAGGGTGAGCTCAGTCATGGCCTTGGAAAAGTCCTTTCCATGCCACAACAGGACTGGATGATGGGCTCTTCTCAGCACGGATATAAAGCATACGGCAGGATGCATCTGGATTGAATGGCAGGTTCAAGCACTGCTGCTTTTTTCTTTCATGGGATTTCTAGTGATGGAAATGGGATAGTCATTAGGCGTAGGACTGAAAGGAAACCCATGAATTCAGAATCCAGCTCTTCCCCGGGTCACAGGAGGAAAACCAGTAATTTGCAAAATACAGTGCTAAAACAAACAATGGCCAACTGGCGTTCACTGCAGCTGTGTTCATGTTCCCACTGACACCAGCCCTGCAGTTTCTCCCATGTACATGAAACGAGAGATGCTGTCAGGGAACAGGAGCCCCTGGCTGCCAAGCCGGGCCGTGCCAATCTGCTCAAAGGGGCCACGCTGTGGAATGGGGCAGCGAGCTTCAGCCCCCAGGACCCAGCCCAGCTGTGCCAGCATTCACTCACCATTGTCAAACACAGTGCCCGCTGTGAAGGAGAGCTCTGAGTCGTGTTCTGCTTTGCAGGCGTACAAAGCTCGGGCTTTCCGCAGTGGTGAGCTGCAAGGAGAAAGCGTTGATTGGCATAAAAATTAGCACCTGGGGAAGGGTGTCTTCAAACCTGAAAAACAGCTCAGTAAAGCCACGAGGGATTTGCTGCACTTCTTTAAAGGCTGTACCTGAGGACAAAAAAGATTTAGCAACCATTAGGTTTTACTGGGAAGAGTCAGTGTGCCCACACTGTGCCCAGCAGTGAGTTGGAGCTGAAAGGGATGGAAACAGAGGTGAATTTCAGGGAGCAGACGGAGGAGCCCAGCAGCACATTGCACTACCTGGAGCTGCCCACCCCCCGTCCCAGTGCCCCCCCGTGGCAGCAGACACAGCACAACCCCGCAGCCATGGCACAGTGCTGTGAGTGCCCCAGGACGGCCAGCACCACCCCCAGGGCATCAGCATTCTCTTTGGGGGCTTGAGGGGCTTTTCCCAAAGACCTGAAGTGATTCTGAATACATGTGCTCACCTCATGGCAAAAGCGGTTGCACACTCATAGAAACCACAAACCAGGAAAGCTGTGAACGGTTTTGGTTTTGCTGTCAGCACAGCCACGGGGCTGAGATTTTTCCTATCTGAATTCCAGCTGTATGACAAGCAGCAGCAAAACGCTTTACAAGCAAAGAACTTTTGATGATGCTGAGCCCCCCGCTCAGCAGAGGGTCCCTGACCACCTGGAGGCCTCTCATCTCACACAGTCAGGCAGAGGACATTTCTGGCTTACAACCTTGAGTTATTCACACTTCTCTTCCCAAAACTCCCCTCGGATTTGCATCCCCAGTGCAGCCGCTATGCGGTGCAGAGACCTGGAGACTGGTGACAGTCACTGTGTGATTACTGCCTCCAAGCATGGCACAACGCCAGCCAAGCACTCACAGGAGCTTCACCCAAGTGCCCTGTGCAGATTCGAGGACAATGAGCCCTGAGGAGGGCTGCTCAGATGTTATTACACCGCTGTCAGCCTTTGCACATGTGTACTGGGACACAAATAACGCTACCAACAGGCAGCATACACTGCTGTAGGAAGGGGAATGCTCAGGCTGTGCCTGCAATGAGTAGACAGGTCTGGCATGTCCCCACCACACCGTGCTGGGCCTGACCAACTTGCTCCAGTGATGCCCACACACCTGAGACATGGGCTAATGGCAGGCCAACATCTGTGCTGCACCATGCCCTTCACCCTCCCTACAGTGCAGCTAAGAAATGGAAAACGGCCAGAAAATGCGGTATTACTCCTGGTAGCAGCTGGGGTAGCACTGCGTTGCTTACCTGTTGTAGAGGCGAGTGCAGCAAGCTCCAGGGAAAGGAAATGGCTGAAAACACAAAGAACTCAGCACCAGTGGGACCTAACTGCCCCGGCCTGAGCCCCAGGGCTGCACATGGGGGCCCAGAGATGCACAGGGGGTGCCCATGGCTCTGCTGGGACAGGAGACGCCTGAAAGCTCCTCTCTTGCTGAATGCAGATAGCTGCACTGGGGGTTTTGAGCAGGATGCAAAGGGGGAAGGGAAGTGAAGTGGGGCAAACCAAGTAAATTAAACAGAAAATAGGGAGAGCAACAGAAAGCCAAGCAAATTGTGCAACAGACCTGATGGGGGATGAGTCGCTGGACGTAGAGGAGGTGGGCATAGGACTTGATGGCGCAGAGAACATGGGCCAGGACGGTGAGAGGGGTGACGTTGGGCTTGGATTCTGAGGGCTGCAAGACATAACCAGATACCTTATCAACGTGCAACCACAGAAACAAACAGCAACCGAGAGACAGGCAGACGACATCCGACGATAGCTGGTGCCTTGGGAATAGACTGAGCATGAGACACAGCCATGAAATGAAGTGCCAAGACCTTGGGAAACATTTCAAGGCCAGATCTGCATTCTTCCAGACAACAAGAGCTGGATTTTCCAGTTAACCCCTGCTCCATCACCCTGCTCCCGGCACCCATGGGCAGAGCTGTCAGGCTGCACGCTGCTGCTCCAGCACCTTACCTGCCGTGCCGTGGCTCACCCACAGAGCCGGCTGCATGGCTGCACAGGGATGGTTTCTAGGAGCATCTCCTCCTGCTGCCACGAGGCTGTTCCCTGGGCCATGCTGTGCAGTGCCTGTCGTTGCCTGTCTGCACATCCCAGTGGGTCCTGGCCGTGGAAGCCCAGGGGCTGACACTGCACCAAAGGCTGCACAGCCCCAAACCACCCCAGGCTGTGTGGGTCTCAGCCCCATGGGTGCCCTCATCAGCACCAGAACTGAGATGAGCAATGCTGAGGTGCAGGGAACCTGTTTTCTGCCACCAGGAACAGGAGTGAAGCAGCAGCAGGGCTCGTGCCCTGCCCACGCTCCAGCACTCCTGCAGCGCTCATTAAATCACAGTGCTGTAACGGTTTAATTGATTTTTTTCATATTTTACAGTGAGAAACACTCTTCCCCTCACCCACACTGCTCTTGACTATCAGCTCATTTCCTCGCTTTTCCTGTAAGTGACTGCTGTCATCTCAAGTCAAACTGAGTCACTGAACTAGGAAACGCATTCAGAAGTGAGAAGTGTTTCCTGCAAAACTGTCACACTGAGGTCGTTCTCCGGTTCTCTGAAAAGCAATTAGTGCAGCCAAACACCATTTTGCATCTGTTTCGTCTTCTGCCATCTCTAGGATTATCAACTCATCTGTATTCTCTAATTCAGCCTGTATGCTCTGTCCCTGGTAAAACACCAGAAAATCCTCTCGGCACTGAAAAGTCCCCATAAAAAAACCCCCAAGGTTCTGTAAAAGCACTGTGATTTCTGCTTTCTCTCTCTGCGAGGATGGCCCCTCCGTGCCACAGAGATGTACCAAGCAGCCCACGCCCTCAGGTGTTCCCCAGCCTCTACCAGCAGATGAACTCTGTAAAAATGAGCAATGGGTTCACCTATAACTGAGAGATGTGCCACTGAGAGATCACAGATCACAGCAGCATCAGTGCTCCAGCCCCCGGCTGCTGTTTCTGGAGGCCGGCACTGCACGTTTCATTACCTTAACACAGAAGGGCGTAGAACAAATGCTCTGTGCTGTATTTCCAGCCTCAGCCTCTAACATTTCAGAAAAACAACCAACCATCCCCAAAACCCAGGAGGGTCTCTGGGAAATATTTGTGACTCATCTTGAATGGATGATCCTCGTGGGTCCCTTCCAGCTCCGGATATTCTACAATCCTATGAATTTTGCATGTGATTGCAATTCTCTTCCCTTCAGTTCAGCTCAGGACTGAAGCAGCACACCCGGCACGGCTCAGCCCACGCTTTGTGCCACCCCACCAGCACCACAACCCCGGCTGCCCCCCAAGGTCAGACCCCACCAGGGGCTGCAGCCACCCCCACCGTGCCCCAGCACTCACAACAGAGAGGATAACACCGTGGATTTGGGCCAATTTCAAGGAAGAAAATGCCCATGCCATAAATATTCCCACTACAGCTGACGTCCAGAGGACACAAAAGAAGGTTAAATTTTTAGCCTGAATTAACCTGAAGTTCATATCTGCTTAAGGCCGAGCTCCTGGCACCTCTCCTCCCCACAGAAGCTGTGTTGCTGAGTCCAACAGACACCATGATTTCCCCACGTGGTTATGGGCAATGCCTTTATTTTTGCAGAGCTTTACATGAGCATAGGGCTGAAATACAGCAGTGCAGCACAACCTTCACCAAGCGCTGTAAAACTGCAGACTATTAAGAGAAATCCTCCAGATGTTCACCTCCTAGTTACCAATATTCAAAAGCAAATCCTTCTGCACTTTTCTACTAAAATTGCAAGAGGAGTATTTACCTGCGTTGGCTGCTCCTTAACAAACCTGAGAGACATTTGTACTTACCATAGCACAAATCTATTTCCAGCTTCAAACAGGAGGAGGTGCCACACGGAGCACCCAGCGATCCCCAGTCGCAGAGGTTAACCCTTAAGGCCCCACTTCTCCCTGCTGCCTTTTCCTCCCACCAGGTGCAGTTGGCTGGAAGAGTGTGACGGTGTTCTACCTTCCCTTAGCACAAGAACTGAGATAGCACATAGGGCACGTACATTTGTTTTGTTTTATCTGTGCACAAGCATGCTTCTGCCCTCTAATGGAGAGAGCACGTTAAATTCATTTGAAGACATGGAGAATGTGCTCCTGTGGGTGTTGGCACCTAGAACCCCTCGTGCACGGTTGGTGCTGCACGAGGAGCTGCAGTTTGGAAACCAAAGCCTGCTGGACATCATACCTGCATGCAGTGCCTGCTGGCTGCACATGGCTGAGTTACAGCACATCTGGAGCACAGCTGGCAGCTGCCAGGGTGGGTTTTGCCTGGGGCTGCAGCTGCGCCTCATCTCCCCACGGCTGCCATTCGTGCAGGCTCCTCCGTCCTGGTAATCCCACTGAGCTCTTCCCAGGGGTGCCAGCTATCAGCTCCACGCAGGGCTTTCCCTTCACCTCCAGCCCCTGCAGCAGTGAGATTCCGCCCCACTGAACACCTGCAGGCGACTCAGTGGCCAAAACACAGCCAAGCTGTGCCATGACAGCAAACAGAGTGGCAGAGTGCCTGCCCCACAGCACAGCCAGCAATGACCCTGCCAGGACACCCAGCTATGAGGCACTGGGACAAGAAAGTCCCCTTCTTGAGATGGGATCATTGTAAAAGAGTGCAGTGCTCGCAACCTGTAGGTCAGCTTCATCACTGCCACCCAACAGCTCAGCCTGCTGCACTGACTGTGGGGCACAGGAAAACTGCCTCTGTGATGCTGCCACAGAAAAGTCTTACAGCAAGAGCCTGGCTCTCCAGCCAGCCGCCAACTACGAAGCTATCCAAAATTTGGACTGGGGTTTTGGTATCTTTGGATTCCTAATGGCAAAGAAAACACTCTCCATGCCCACCAAGCAAGAGAGATACATTCATTAGTAACAGCACGCAGGTCTGTGAGGATGAAGACCATCCTGCTTCAATCAGGTTACTCCCAGAAGAGATGAACGTGGTGCTGTGAGCGGTTCCCTCCAGAAGAACAGAAGGTTTTGCAGGGCCCTCTGGGGCTGCCCTGCTGAGCAGACGATCTCTGAAGGCTCAGCTCCTTCCAGGGAAACCCCAGCGTTCAGTTCCACAGCTCCTGCTCAATGTCACCCCACTGAACCACGCCACAGCATGGGCTACGTCTGATCCCACCGGAGAAGTGAGCGCACTGATGAGAGCAATGAGGCCTCTGTGTTTTGGAACATGTCTTTTTTTTGTGTTTTGGTTTTGTTTTTTTTTTTTGTAAGATCCCATTTCCTTTCTCTTTCTCATGGGAATAGCAGCGGTGGTGACGGGCTTTTTGGAATTGCTGGCTGCTGCCTGTTGTCTGCAGAAAGCCAATGTCATCTGTTTTTTCCCTTCTTCTTACTCTTGAGGGCTTTGCAAGGGGCTCTTCCTGTTGGGTGCAGAGTGGGAAACAAAACAGAAAAGAAAAAAAAGCAAAAAAAGCTAAGAACCAAAAATACCAACAGCAGGAAACAAAGATGGGGTAAAACTCAGCGTCTTCCAAGCAGCTTTTCCCAAAGAGCAGCAGCCGAGGGAACTCCGTCAGTCAGCAGCCCAGAACACAGCAGGGCTTCGCCTTTCCTCCCAGATTGCCCATGGCCCTGGGCAGCACACAGGATGGGATGGGATGGGGACATAACCATCCAACCCTGCATCCTGGGAGCTGTGCTCCAAGCAGCCCTGCTGCCATCCCCGTCCTTCCAGGCACTGCTTTACCTTCCTGCAGCTGGATCTAAAAGCCCTCCTCACTCCTCCCCTCTCACAACACTTTTTCTCTGCTGTCTGCCTGCCCAGGCCACCCCTGGCATCTCCTGGCACAGCTGAGGCCCTTGCAGTGTGTGGGGCTGAGCAGTTCAGCACAGCAGGGCTCCACACAGCCTTTGTCACTTTGTTCTTTTGGCTGAGAGGACACCAGTTCCACTTAAAAACATTTACAATTTGTTTATTTTTGTGGAACTCGGGGCTATTTCTGGCACAGAACATCCAGCATCCATGAATGGGCACCATCTACTGATGAGCTGAAGCCCTTTGATGAAATCACCTCAATAAACACCCTGTTTCCATCCTGGCATTATCAATACTGACTGCTCTTAAACAAACCAAGAACCACCCACCCCTTTCCCTTCCCTTTTACTTCTCTAAAACAAAGCTGCTGAACATAAGGCTCTTCTCAAAGCCAAACAGACAGAAATATATAGCATTGCTCAACGCCAGGGCTCTTAAACTTGCTAACAGCAGGCCAGGGTTGCAGCCTGCTGATGGACATGGCTCTGCTACACGAAATGGGAGCCAGCCTTGGGCAGAGAAGCTGATGAAGTTCATGCAATGCTGCACAACTCAGCAACGCCCGGAGTGCAGGGTGGATGGGCACGAGCAAGCAGTCCCTGGGCTCCAGCTGCACTGGTGTTAGTGATGGCACCAAGCACGATCCTATACATTACCAAGATCCCACAGGCTTCCAGCTTGGTAGCATTCTTCCTCCATTTGGTACTTTAAATACAAGAAAAATTATGCAAAATCTCTCCTGTATTATTCTCTCAGGAGTTATCTTGCTGCATAAATCACTCAGGTGGAAAATAATGTCACGCTCAGGGAAATAAGCAGCATTGCTTAACCAAGCAGGTCCAAAGAGCTCAGCTTCTTCACACACCTCCAGCTATCAGCTCCTCTTCCCAGGTGAGCACAGCTGACG